CCAAAAGCTAACGAATTTCTGAGCACTTGAGAATTTGGATTTGGGTTTGGGATGCTCCTGCCATACTGGGTGTTTGCTTTATGCGGTGCTGTAATCAGTGATAGCAGGCAGTGAGCATGCCAGCACCCCAGTGTGGAGACAGCCCGCATGTTTAGTGCCCAGCAGGTGCCGAGGAGGAAGTCCTGGTGTAGACAGGAAAGAGTAGGGCTCTAACTTAGATAGATTGTGCTGGCTCTTGACTTCCAGTTGGAAAACAGTGAGAACTGGCCTAGGGGACCCCTGTGGCTCCTGTAGCATCAGGTGTCTTCAGTTACTGATCCGCAGACCCAGTCACCAGCTCATGCTGCCCTCCACATTGGGGTGAATTACAAGCATTACTTTAAATCTGTAATGTGTGCCTGTTATTTTTCAGAACATACCTTTAGAGTATGGCTTATTATTATTAATAATTATAAAAATATTTTCTTGGGGTTGGAGAGATCGCTCAGCAATTAAGAGCATTGGCTGCTCTTCCTGAGTTCCTGTTCAATTCCCGGCAACCACACGGTGGCTCACAGCCGTCTATAATGAGATCTGATGCCCTTTTCTGGCATGCAGGTGTTACATGCAGATAGAACACCATATACATAAAATAACCTTTAAAATATTTTCTACTAATACACTTATTTATTCATTTATTTATCCAAGAACTCCTTTCTCTCCCACAGTGCCATTCTGTCCCATCTCATTTTCAACACTGTGAATGGCCGGAATTTTTAATCCCAGACTTTCCAAGCAGGAAATATATACATACATCTGATCATGTATCTCTATCTGTCTGTCTGTCTATCTACCTATCTATCTAATTAAAAATGAATATGAAATTCTTCAGGCCATAAAGGGACTACTTTGTGTTGTGTTCCTGGATCTTTCTTTTGACCGCATTCACCATGGTCGTGCACATGCACACATATAAAAGGAAAAGCCAGCAACAATCCAAATGGTATTCAGTCCTTCTTGCACCTTAAGTTGCCAGTTCTCTTTCTTTAGGAATTTTTTTTACATATTTCTGAAATGTTTTCTGTACACACACACACACACCCGCATGCACGCACACATTCCTCAGCCTGATCTTTATGAGACCTCTATCCACTGGTTAGCTTGCTGCTGCCTCTCTCCTCCCCTCCATTTTGGTTGAGCACTGTGCATTTTGGAGCTTATGCCATGTAAAGTCATTCCCTTGTGCCCTTGTAAGTACCCAGAATTGTCAGTTACACCATCATCTCTCCATAAGCAGCGTCCTGAAATCATCTCTGCCTGAAATTATCACATGGATGCCTAGTTCCTTATTGGTGGATACTTAGGACGCTTCCAGAATCCATCTAAATAACTTTGCAGTGAACTGTGCTCTCAAGTCCTTGCATCTGCGTTGTTGGGAATGTCACTGCAGGTTCATAGAAGGCAGCCTGGCAGTCGGGTAAACCTATTTACGTTTCCCTCAGGAGCGTAGGCAAGTACCAACTTCCTGAGTCCTCTCCAGAGTTGTCGTTTTCCCAGTCTGGTAGGCCAAGCTGTGTCTTAGAGTTTGTGTTTCTCTTACTCACATGTGCTGTCTTTCCACCCGAGCTTTCAGCGTCTTCTTTCTTTGCTGTGTTATGTCCTTTGCCTACCTTTTGCCATTGGTTATTTTATTTTTCAGAGACTTCAACTTTATCTAATTGGACTGGGGAGATGGCTAAGTGAATAAAGTGCTTTGCTATGCGAGCTTGGGGACAGGGACTTGAGTCCAGACCTCCAGCCCTCACATGAAAACCTGCCACAATTTAGTTGGTCAGCGACCTCTGGGTTCAGTGAGCGGCCCTGTCTCAGAAATAAAGTGTAGCGCAACAGAGGAGGGCACCCAAGGCGGGCTTCCGGTTTCCCCATGCCCATGAACTGTTGATGCAGGTATATCACACACACACACACGTATATACACACATGTACACATGCACTTACATACACACATGCAACACATGTACACATGTATATACACACATGTACATACACATACATATACACACGTATATACACCCACACATTTAATGTAGTCACAACTTCTGGGTTTTTCTTCATTATCTGTAGGTTTTCATTCTTGTCTGGAAAGATTTTTCAAACTCAAAATTATTAAAATATTCTTCTGTTTGAATTCCAGAACCATTTGAATTTGTGCATAATATTAACACTGGGCTTCTGTTCAGCGTATGTCCAGTGTTTGTCTTCTTGGGTGGTTGGATGCTGAAATCTCTACCAAATGGGAGGCTGGAGGGTAGCTGAGCAGAGCATGTAGGCAAGGCCCGCGGTGTCGGGACTCAGCTCACAGCCCTACAATGTAGAATTCCCATTCTGTCCTGTTCTCTGTGATTCTCGTCACTGCTTCTGTCGTCCCCCGCCCTAGCACCCAAGGAACTTTGTTTAAATTGAATAAGAGCTTTCTGCTTTACTGGCAGTTTATCAATAATTTGAAAAGATATAGATACTTGTTCTTGATTGGCACTGATACAAAGGCTAATATTGGCTCTTTTTATTAAAGAAGAGGAATATTTGAGGTTTCTGTTTCTTAGTTACAGTTGCTACTTCATGATTTCCAAGATGGGGCACTTGGTGACTGCCGCTACCGTCAGTGGAAAAAGGAAAAGTAGTGGTAGTGATTTGACCCGAGGAAGTGTGGCATGCCGGAATGTTGAGAGAATTCATTTATCATTATTATTTTTTAATATGTAGAGTGACTCCAAGACTTAGATTTAGATTTATGATTTTCCTAATAACCCCGCTACTGAGGGAGATTTTTTTTTTTTGGGCCAGGATTTATTTACTGTTCCTGTTAACTAGCCAGCACTTTTCTGTACAAAATTAACAGTCAAATTTGTAGATCCCTGAACCATGCATTTCCCTCTCAGGCAACCGTCATAATCCTTGGTTCTCTCAAGTTCTCAGAAACTTCTGGAGCCTGAAACACAATGGTTTTGTAATCCCTTTAAAATGTTTTATTACATTTATTTATTTGTGCATGTGTTACATGCCTGTGTGGGCACACTCATACCTTGGTGCGCCTGTGGCAGTTAGAGGCCTTGAAGGGGTCAGTTCTCGTCTTCTCCCACATGGGCACCAGGAATCAAATGCAGGTCCTTAGTCTTGGTGGCAAGCACCCGTCCCTGGTGAGCCATCTTGCCAGCGTGTGATCACTTTGTAAAAACGAGAGAATCTGTAATCTGAAGCAGCCATCTCTCATGTTTACTGCTATTGCTAGAATTGGTGTCAGTGGCCAGTCCTGCTTCATATTGCCAGCCATTCAGCCGTTTGGTTATAAAACAAAAAATAAAAAACAAAAAGAACAATGAAAGCCAGACACAACAGATTTAGAGTGATTTGTTTTCCTCTTATGCCTGATGTCGGACAGAGACTTTCAAAACTGTTTGTTGAGTTCCTGGAACCTGAAATGTGGTGGAGTTTTCTTCCATTATTTCTTTGCTTTTTTGGTGTGTGCGTATATGTGTGGTTATGCACACACAGGGGTATGGAGGCCAGAGCATCTTTCTCTATCACTTCCCACTCTTCTTTTGAGAGGGGCCTCTCAGTGAACCCCAAGTTCTTGTATTTGGCTAGATCAGCTGACCAAGGAGTTCTGGGGCCTCCTGTCTTCACTCCCACTTCCCGCCCGTGCGCGGGTTACAGGTGCACGCTGCCTTGCTTGACTTTTCATAGCTGTTGGGAATCCAAGCTCAGGGCCTCCGGCTTGCAGGGCAGGCAGTTCCCCCACTGAGCCACCGCTTCACCTCCATTTCTGAGAACACACAGGATTAAACTCAGCGTCTAATATGTTTCCAGAAAGCTAGTGTAAAGCCTTGGCTGCTCACAGTTCACAACTGTGTACTCTCAGCCCTCCGGAAGCTGATCAGGAGTTGGAGACCAGCTTGGGCTACATAGTAAACTCTGTTGCAGAAAGACAAACAAAAAGGAACTTTGGATTTAGGAGTGAGAGTGTGGCTCAGCAGTAAATCCAATGGCTCTGGGTTCAAGTCCCAGTACAGAAAACCTACCAAAGGTTGTAAGTGATGTTGAATTTCATATAAAGGAAGAGCAGTGACCGGGGATCGTCCCAGTGGATGAAGCACTTGTCATGCACGCCTGGATACCTGAGTTGGATCCCTGGAATCCATGTAAACGTAGAGGAGAGAACCAACCCCAAAGTTGTCCTCTGATCTTTACATACACTGTGACTTGAACCCGTCTCCTTCCTGTCACACACGAGTACCACTCACACAATCACTGACACCCACACTCACACATACCAATAAAGGAGCAGCCGGCTCCAAAGGTGAAACTCCGCCCTCTGCACCCTGCCGCATTTACTAGAATAACATATTAAATACAACTTGTTCATGGTTTTCCACAAAGATCCATAGTACTTTTAACTAATGAGTGGACAGAAACAGCTTTTACAGGACACTGTGGCGTCCAAGCAGCCTTCATGAAGCTTGTCGGAGCTATTGCGTATGATGGAGACCCCCCTCCCCCGTTTCCAAACCTTAGGTTTCTCAGGGAGGGTGTTTGGGGTTTGGTTTTGCACCGCTCGAGTCAGACACAGAGGCCTCACTCCTACTGGGCAAGCCTCCTCCCGGCCCCACCTTAGGGTACTGATGAGTACACAAACATCCATGAAAGCTAACACCTGAAGCTGAAGCCTAAGGACTCCTGCAGCCAGATTGCCCTGGCCCTGGTTGACTGCTCACTGGCAAAAGAAATAAAAAACAAAAAAATAAAGCTTTACCTAGTGTACTTTTCAGTGAAAGGACTGTCAGTGTTTATGCATCCATCTGCAGTGGTACAGTCTTTCCCTGCAGGATGGAAGTCAGGAGAACAGCCTCTTCCGGGTGGTTGTGGGTGGAGCCTTAGTGACTGCAGGTGACTTGAAGAGTTAATAAAGTCACGGGGAAAGCAAGGTAAGCCACCCACTATTGGACCTTAACAACCATCTGCAGAACACAACTGGAGGGGGATCGAAGACAGAACCTGCTGGATGACCTTGTCACCCGAGAACGACTGCTCCTGGCATCGTTTAAGAATGAGGGTGCAGAGCCAGATCTGATCAGGTAGGACGCTTTTCTTTACAGGGACACCCCGGTCCTGGGGACTCGCGTGTAGTTGCTACAGCTGTTTTCTGCACGGTTTCCATTTTGTGTAAAATCTGCTCGTTTACAGAGTCTGACTGTATTTTCCTACTGAGTTTAGTTTTCATTAATTTTCCAGATTTAGCAAGCCCTGGGTGTTCAGCTGAAGCTCATGCTAGGTGGGGCATTCTTATGGAGAATATGGTCAGAAATTTCCTTTTGCATTTGTTGAATTTCTGGCTTGTAAATGCCTGAAGTTGCTACATTTTAGTTGGCTTGTTGAAAATGTGTCCTGGTGAGACAAGGGCGAGGCCACAGAGGTTCCTGGGCTGGCTTCTCCAGGTTCTCTGCCAGCCAGTGATTGGCTCTGCATATAGCTGACAGCTGCCCTGAATTCAGCCTCCATTGCTGGGGCTAGTGATGGAGAAATTGTTACATCTTTAGCGCTGTCCTCTCCCTGTTTCTGAAAGTTCAGGCTGGAAACATTCTAGAAAGAAACAAGCCCAGAAGAGAAAGCCTCCTTTTCTGTCCTTTAGCAGTGAGTGGAGGTCAGGGGCTCAGCTTTGTGCTTAGGTCTTAGGAATGATGTAGCTTCTCAAGGGCCGCACCGCCAGGCCCCACCCCAGACTTCACTCCTAGTGCAGCGGGTTGGGGAGGGTGGTCCCAGGTGGTTTTCATAAACATCCAGGCTTGCAAACAACTGTCCTAGGATGAGCTGGGGCAGGGGCAGCAGTTCATTCCTGTTGACCCCATGCTTCTCAGGAGCAGGCAAGCCCAGGTGTCAGAAAAACATTTACAAAATGTACGAAGCTAGGTGAAATCAAGTCGGTTTTGTGACGAATGAAAGCTTGGGTTAGGGAACGATGGATGAGTGGTGTCCTGGGCAAGGTTTCCAAATGCAGGCAGAAACTCACTCGTGGGGCCAGTTTTCTGAGGCCCCTCAGCACTCCCTGGCAGTATTCAGTCCTGTAGATACAAGGGGGTGAAGTGATGCAGATGTTGATCCAGATTGGTGATCCAAGACAGGTAAGCAGAGGAATTCAAGGTGAGAAGAAATGGCATCTTCCAGTAAGAACTTCACCATGAGGAAGAGAAGAAATAGGCCAGGCTTAGTCTCTCACTCATGTAATCTTGGCATTTATGAGACCGAGATCATTGCTGGGATTTGTAGGCCAGCTTGGACCACAGAGCGAGACACCGTCTCAACAAGAAGTTAATAGAGGCAGTTGGTGGGAGAAGTCTTTCGTGGAGAATGGTGGCCAAGGGGAGAGAGCATGTGATCATGGTGGACATGGTCCTGGGGGTGGTGATCCTTACCATTTGGGAGGCTGCAAGCTCCCAGACTGTAGTAGCTGTTCTCCATTGACTGTCATTTGGTGATGCCAAGGGGTGTCCTGAAGAATGAGAGCCTTTGTGCTTTGGGCTTTATCCTTTCTGTTCCGTCTTACTAGTCCTACATATGTAGTCTGTGTGTCTCTGTGTTTCTGTGTCTCTTTGTTTCTGCCTCTCTGCTTCTCCATGTCTCAGCATCTCTATGTCCCAGTATCTCTTATGTGTTCCAAAGCAGGAGTGGCAGCACCTTGGTTAACATTCAGAATCACAGCTCCAGCTTGGAAATTAGTGTCTTCTTTCACAGGGTCTTGCACGATTTGAACACTCCTGCTTTGTGCCACCCTCTCCCTCTATTTTTCTGAGCAAGGATCTGACTTGTAGTCCCAGAAGACCCGGAACTCTATGTAGATCAGGCTGGACTCCTTCCTGCTGCTGGGATTAAACACATGTGCCACCATATCTAATAAATAGCTTTGTATCATTTGTTCATAACTGGCACTTTGCAATAGAGCCACCCAAAAGGCTCACCAAAAACAGGCAGAGAAAGGAAGAGGGGGAGTGCAGCTGCCTGCCATGCCCTCACCGAGGTCTAGATGTCAGCAAGCCCGGGGAAGCTCCGCGAGGTACCTAGTAGGCAGCAGCTTAGAGTGAAGTGCTGCCGCGTGCTTTGCTCTGTTCGCTCTCTAGCACAGACACTGCCAGCCCAGCCGCCTTCGCGGCGTCGCCTTTCAGAAGGAGGCGGGAGGGGTAGTCAGGTCTAAAGTCAGTCTGTTGGAGAGGTTAAATTTTAGATATAATTTTTTTTAAAAAAGATTTATTTAGCCAAGTAGGTATGGTGCACACTTTTAATGCCAGCCCTTGGGAGGCAGAGGCAGGCAGATCTCTGTGAATTTGAGGCCAACCTGGTCTACAAAGTTTGTTCCAGGACAGCCAGGGCTGTTACTGAGAGAAATCTTGTTTCAACCCCCCCCACCAGAATTATTTTTACCATTTTATTTAAAAATTTTATTTTTATCATTCTTAATGTGTACGTGTATCTGTGGATATATGCACATGAGTGCAGGTGCTTTTGGAGGCCAGAGACATCAGAGCCTGTTGGACCTGAGTTAATGATGGTTTTAGGTCATCCAGTGTGGGTGCTAGAAACCAAACTTCAGTCCTCTGCAAGAGCAGTATAGGATCGGAACCACTGAGCCATCTCTCTAGCCCCTAGATATCAAATTGTAACTTTTACGTACTGTAAAGAGCTGGACCAGGCAGCTTACTAGTCCCTCAGTCGTCTGGGGTTCAAACTCATTGATTTTTATCTGGACCTGTGTTCTGCCCATTTTTATTATTGTTAGGACCAGGCGGGGTGACTGCCAGTAAGAGGGGTGCAGACAGCGAAATGTCTATAAAGAAGATGCCATCACTGAAGAAGTGTGTCTCCATTGGGTTAGGGGACCTTCTGTCTCCCCTGTCACGAGCTTTACTTCTCAGTGACCTGGCTTCCTCAGCCAGCCTTTTCCACATGCTGTCCCTGCTAATCACCCTCCTGACTGTCCATTCCAGGACCCAGTGTGCTGTCTGTTGTCTTATTCCTTAACAGACAGTTTTCAATTAGCTCCAGCTAGGGGATCGGTGTTGAGTAGTAACTTGGCTTCTGTGTATATGTTAATCAAAGCTTCCTCAGCTCCCAGGATTTAAGCCAAAGCAAATGAATTGTTAGGAGAATTTTAGGGAACTTGGCAGGTTCAGAGCAAAGGTAGTTTTGGTTTTGGTTGGAGGCCTGAGGACCTTTTAATTCCTGTCATTAGGCCTGCCTCCTGTTGGTCTTGTGCATTAAGGTTGATACACCAGGACCTAAAGTAGTTACATACTAGTTTATTGGTAAATGGTTGGGGTGACTTGGGGGCCCAGGGACCAGACCAAGAATAAACTGAAACAACAATAAATGACCTGTTGAGGTTGCAACATTTAAGGTCACTGGCTGAACTTATTTCTGTACAGAGTCAAGAGTAATGCATGCACACACAGCTTTCATACAGTAAGCCCCCAGAGAAGTTGTATTGAAAAAGTACATAAGCACTGTCAAGAAGTGATGGCTGAGGGGTGGTGGCCCATTTCACAGAACATGACCCCTGGCTTGTGTGAGAAATCAGTGTGGCAAATAGGTGCCAATTACCATGAAAGTGTAAAATCATTGCAGGTGAAGAAACAAAGGAAAGAGAATGGTAGATTAGAAAGCGGATTTTAGTTCCTTGGTAAATTATTGTTGGGCTGGGGTTAGTTAGCTCCATTGTGCCCATCTTAACAGGATTATATCTCTGTGTGTCAAGAGATTATATCTCTGTGTGTCAAGACTTGCACAAAAAGTGCAAGTCTTGTAGACAGTATGGGGAAGTCCAGCAAGAAAATGCATACTAGATCAAAGCTGCTCCGCAATATGATTAGAGAAGTGCCTGGAACTCAGCGCCAGGGTTATGAAATGGACTCCCGGGCAGGGAGATGGCACCACTCCCTGATGATGCGAAGCCTTAAGGTATGAGGCTAGTGAAGGGATGCCGAAGCCCAAGTCCCCCGCTGCCCCCGCTGTTGCGAGCTTTGTGAAGCCCCTGGCCCTCATTCCCAGGAGTCTCCTACCGTGTCTCCTCCTTCCTCCTCTTCACAGGCAGGGCTTATTAAGAAGAGAAGCATATTGTCAAACGTCAATTTGGATTAACACTTCCATTAAGCAGACATTAATTTGCGGATCACCTAATTGAATGTGTAGCCATCATGTGACAGAATCTTCATTTTTGCCCTGCAGATTGCCCATCATTATTCCAGAGCAGTCAGCCTGGCTCTAAATAAGCAATGGTTGGCTAATTTAGCTATTTGGACGGTTGTTAAAGAAGCCTCTGTGTAACAGTGTCCCTGGAAGATGAGAAGCAGTGACACCGCTTCGGACTTGAAAGCCCGCTGCCCTTTGCTTTGCAATTAGCTGGAGTTTTGTAAAGAGAAAGGAGAATCACGGCATCCTCCACTGCGCCGTGACAGTCTCTGAGATTATGCGATTAACTCGGCTGCCGTGGGTGGCTAATTGGCTGAGCTTAAACCTTCACACCACCAACCATATAGAGGATTATGGGGAAGAGGAAGTTATTTGGGGTTTGTGTTGGTTGTTTTATGTCTGGAAGGGGATGCTTACAAGATGGCTGCCTTCTAGAATCAAAAGGCCATGATAAGGAAATGTCACATTTTCTTGGAGTACAACCTCAATTTTAGACATACACTTTCTCGTGAGCTACTAAAAATTTATGGACCATATAGTATGTAGTCTATCATTGTGTGGGCAGCCCAACTATGCACAAGAAAAATCACATTAAATCTTACATTAAAAATATAACCTCTCTTGCAGGGCATGATGGCACATGCCTGTAGTCCCAACTACTCAGGAGACTGAGGCAGGAGGATTGTTAGAGTCCAGGAGTTCTGGGCTGAGTATGTTATTGCCAATCAAGTGTCTACAGTAAGTTTAGCATCATTATGGTGACCTCCTGGTAGTAAGGGACCCCAGGTTGCACAAAGAGGGGTGAATCTGCCCAGATTGAAAAATATTATACCTTCTCTCATGTTAAATTATGGAATGTCTTGTATCAGCTTAATGGTTTGTAAGAGGAAATTGTACCCAATAGTACATGGATTTCTTAAGGAATCATGCACTTATGCTTGATGGTACTGGTGTTGACTCATGAGCAGAAACTCAGACCAGAAACTCTCCTGTTAGTAGGAAGTTGCTAAGGAATGTGCAGTCACTTCATTAGTTGGTTCATTATGTAAACCGAATATTTATCCCTTATATTTATGCCCACAAATATGATAGCCGCCTAGCTTTTCTGGAAGGATGTGCTGACCTTGGTGAAACTTTGCTTTGTTTGAGTAAACGCAGGGTGGTCAAGCCAAGGGGACATGGAAGGCAGCTAAGAACACTGAAGTTCCTGACAGTGTAATGAACAGTGGGCAAGGATGCAAGAATGTCGTGTTAAAGCACACGATGCTTAGTGTGTGGCCTGTGCCATCTGGGGAAGAGGCAGCCTGAAGCCAGCACAGACAGACAGCACCTACTTTCTGTAGCTTAGCGGGTTATAGTCCAGTGAGATGCCCTCCTCGGGGGCCACGCAGTGACATGACACCTACCGTGGTAGGAGATTAACGTCCGCAGTAGGGGAGCTCGGCAGAAAAGCACCTTGTCCTTTGGGTCAGCGGGGAGCCTGCTGAGCTAGCAAGGCCACAGGCTCAGCGCTCATCATTCGTCTTCTTTTTTCTTAAGAAGTGTGTACTTTCTCTCTTGATGGCGATTTTAAGTATCCTGATGACAGGGACCAAAGTCTACACAGTGCTTAAAGAGTTTCCGCCGAGTGAAAGAACACCTGTCTGCTTCCCTATGTGTCCCCAAAGACCCATCCTAGAGTTGGGTATACAGCAGGCGCGCTGTAATGTAGCAAACTTTCCTTGATTGAAAAGCCGATCCAAGGTGTGATAGAATGCTTTGGGAACTGAATGGCTGGGAATGTCAAATGTGTTCCTACACAAGCTTTCTTCCTATCCTGTCGGCTTGTTTAGTCAGACAGCGATTCAGAGGCCCAGGCCGTCTCTTCCCAGGGCTGTGCTGCTGAAACTCCAGGTCTCCGTGTGCCCTGGGAATGGAGTAGAGAGAGAACGTGGAGTACTTAACACCTCTCGGATGATTTGTCCTGCAAATATCTTACACCCTGCCCATTGGCCAGAGGTAATCACGTGGCTCGAGTCTTCCTGTGAGGGAAGCTGGGGACTATAATGCCTATGGATGCTCCATAAGGTACTGAGCTGGGGTCGGAGGAAGTATGGACTTGGTCTGTGCCTGCCTCCCTGGTTCTTTTGAGGAATGGGAGATAAATACAGTCCTGCTGCTTCTCCAGTCAGCACCCAGCAGAGGTTCCGCTGGCAGACCTAAGTTCCAGAGCCACGCTAGCAAGCCAGCACAGGACTGGTGCAGAAAATGACTCGCTGTGGACCAGGGAAACAGAATAGAGGATCTGGAGGCAAACCCACACAGCTGCAGCCATCTGATTCTCCAGACTGGAGAAAGGCCAGCCTCTCTGACAAATGGTGCTCAGAAAACCAGATAACCACATCTTAAAGACAGAAACTAGATGTCCGTCCCTCACCCTGCACAAAAATCAATTAAAAGTGGATCAAAAACTTTAAGACCCCAAACTCTGAGTCATCTAGACGAAAACATTTCAAGATATGGGCCTAGGCAGACCTTTCTAAACAGACTCTGATGACTCAGAGATAGGACAGTTTGACAAGGGGACTTTGAAATTAGGGGCTGGTGATGACTAGGAGTATGGATTAGAGCCTGAAGTCCTGGGTTCAGCTCCTGGCACTCCCCCCAAAAAAAAACCCACCCTGGAAAGGAGACTGTGGTAGTGCAGCCTACAGAACGGGAGAGCCTGCCAGCTTTTCTTCTGACAGAGCTGTAAATACCAAAAGAACTAATAGTCCCGTTGATAAAAGGCCAGATGAACCTAACTGACCCTTTTCAAAAGTATGACTGGTTATTGAACACACAAAGAGAAGAAAGTTCTGCATCTTTAGACATCAGGGAAGTGCAAATCAAATTATTAAGACTCAGTCTCATCCTAATGGCTGACATCTGGAAAACAAACAGTGGCAAATACTGGCAAGGGTGAGGGTAGCTGCCGGTGAAAGGTGGGTTTCTCCAGCCATTGTGGAAAGCATTGTGGAAAGCATTGTGGAGGTGCCTCAGAGGAAAAGATAGAGCTGCCATGTGATCCAGCAGTACCCTCCTTAAGGACGTACCCAACGGAGTCAATCCGCATACGCTAGGTGCTTGTGGACCTGTGTTATCCCAGCACTATGCATAGTGGCTGTGTTTGGGAATCCGCCTAGGTGGTGATGAGTAGAAACTGTATTAAATACAGTAAGCCATAAGATGAATGAAATTAGGCTGTTAGCAAGAAAATGAAATCACGTGTTTGCACATGAATTTAGGTACACACAGAGGGCACGAGTTTGGTTCACCATGCTGGTCTAGCAGTTAGGATCCTTTCAGCCACAGGGAACATAATGCTACCAAAGCTGCTTAAAGAAATGCTCCCATGTTGGAGGCTCCACATTAGAATGCTGACTATTTCAGCCGCCTGGTGCTGCCATCCTATGCTCACCTTTTTTGCCTTGCTCAGAGTGTTCCCCTTCTTTCAGCCTGAATCCTCTCATGGTTTCCAGATGGATGCAGTGGCTTCCAGCTGCACTCTGGGCAGAGCCATAGGAGAGGAAGAAGATATTTTGCATGAGTAAAATATTCATATGGCTAGGAAATCTATGAAGCATCTACCAGAATTCAGGGAAAGTTCTCTCATTTTGTCCTCCACTCCCATACAAAGTAATTATTGTTTTTGCATATCCTAGTATTCTCTGACTCTTATACCAATAAACAGGGGTATATATTCTCTTATTTTCTACAGTCTTTCATATAAGCGGTAACATTATGTATTCGATTTGACAATCTCTTATAGCTGATTGTATCTTAGAGATTTTTCTCATTCAGGATATTTGTGGTTGATTTTTTTTTTAGTCTTAGTATATTTTGTCAGGCACACATACCATAATTAATTTAACTACTGTCTAATTAACAGATATGTGTTACATCTGTTCTCTGCCTTTTTTATTTTTAAATTGCAAAAGAAGCTCAGTAGTTTCTGTTACACGAGTTCAGTACTGGTCTGGGATATGTGAGGCTGGCTCCCTCCAGCCCCCACAGATACAGAGCAGATGTTCTGAAATGCAGGAGATTGCCCATGTGTCAAAATGTCTCTGGAGAAAATCTCAGAAGTGGGTGACTGGATCTGAGGGCATGTGCTTTGGAAATTCTGATATTTGGAAATGATCGCCCATCGGGTTAGTACCAGTTTAGACTTGTGCCCTCAGTTCCTGCACCTGTTTGCCTATGCACTTAGCTTCCTATGCACTTCTTCTCCGAAGTAATAGAGTTTTATACTACTCTCTTAGTACATTTGTATGTAATTACTCCAAGTAGTTGTAGTGACCTAAGGTTTAACGAAATGCAGTTTTTAGTATTTAAAAACTATTGAGATGGTAAGATGGCTCAGTGGATAAAATGCTTGTAAGACAGGTGTGGCAACCTTAGTTTGATCCTGAGCCCACATAAAGGTGGAGGAAGGAGTGAACTGACCCTGCAAAGCATCCTCTGGTTGCATTATATACACAATAGTAATAATAATAAAATATTATTATTATTATTATTATTATTAAAACAATTGTAACTGTTAAGTATCTGGTCCATCTGGCATCTACTAATGGAGAATTTGAGCCCCACTCTCCTCTAACTCTGCCATCTTAAGTTTGTGTGAGTGGAGGTGGTAGCTTTGTTGTGTGACAAGGTCCTGTGGGTCACCTCTGGACCTTGTAGGTGTCTGTCAGTTCTTTCTGTTGGTGTGCCAGCTCTGCAGTCTCATTGCTGATGGTTCCAGTGTTAGCACACAGTAAGTGGGACTCATCACCTGCCATCAAGCCATTAAAAAATTCTTTGCTTTTTAAAAATTGCCTTTCTATTTGTTTGTGTGTATGTGTGTAGCTGGAGGCTTTCTCTGTCTTACCTGGTCCTACCGGACTACTTTATCTCCCACCTGCTGGTCCCTGTAGTCGCTTATAAAATAATTATTCAGAGGCTTAATATCAATTATAATGCTAGGTTGATGGCTCAGGCTTATTATTAGCTAGCTCTTATATATAAATTAACCCATTTTTAATAATCTGTATATTGGCACATGGCTTTGTGGCATTACCTGTCCTCTAGTACATCTTGCTGCTCCGGTGGCTTGCTGGCATCCCCCCGCTCAGCCTTCTTTCTCCTTGTATCTCTACTTGATATACAGCTATATTCTGCCCTGTCATAGGCCAAAGCACCTTTATTCATCAACCAATAAAAGCAACACATACAGCATACAGAAGGACGTCCCACATCATATGTGCATGCATGTCATGGTGCATGTATGGAAGTCAGAAGCCCATGTTCAGGCATTGGTTCTCTCTTTCCACCCTGTGGACCCTGGGGATTGAACTGAAGTCTTAAAGCTTGGTAGCAGGGCCCTGTATCATAGCCATCTTGGTTTTTCCTACATCTTTGTTTTTAAGTAAACTTTACAGCTAGCTGATCTGACTCAAATGAAGGAAAGAACGCTTTTCCTTTTAACTATGAGCCTGTTAAATCTTGGAATCCCATTCTCAGTGCTGAATTCCCCTCCCCAGCACAGAGGTCCCCTCCATTCCTTCCAGCATCCTCAGTGCTGAATTCTGCTCCCCAGCATAGAGGTTCCTTCCAGCCCTGTTTCAGGGCTATTGTAACGTTTTCTCCAGCGAAGTTTACACTTTCCTGCTGAGTCTGTGCCTGCTCACTTCATCTGTTGCTGTCTTAATACTCAGCTTTTTATTCAGGTGTGGCTTGTGATTGTTTGCGTGCAAGCTTTTGATACCTGATGTCTGCTGTTAATACTATAGGCAGTAATTTCTTAATTTTGTTTTTAATAGTTTTTCTGTTGATTCTTATATTTTCTAGTTATTTTTGCGTGATTGTGTGGGTGTGGTATGCATATGTGGATGTTTGTGTGTATGTGTGTGTGTGTGAGAGAGAGAGAGAGAGAGAGAGAGAGAGTGAGTCTGTGTGTGATGTAGTCCAGAGGTCAGTGTATCTTCCTTGATCATTCTCCACCTTAACTATGGAGGCGGGGTCTCTCACTTGAACCCGCGCTTGCCAATTTGGCTAGTCTGGTTACCCAACTTGTCTGCTCCCCGACCCTGTCTCTGCCTCTCTCATGAACACTAGGATTAAAGGTGCGTCCCAGACCTGTCTGGCATTGCTGGGTGCTAGGATCTGACTGCAGTCTTCATACTGCATGACCAACACTTTACTCAGGGAGCCATCACCTCATTCCCTACTTTTTATTATTTAATTCAAATTTAGTTGTTCTATGTGTATGTGCCTGCATGATTTTGTGTGTGCCATGTGTATCGAGGAGCCCATGGAGGCCAGAGGGTGTTAGATCCAGGGAGTTACACACAGGTGTTTGTGAGATGACTAAAGTGGGTGCTGGGGCCTGAACTCAGCTCCTCTGCAAGAGCAGTAAGTGCTTTTAACCACCGAGCCATTTCTCCAGTGCGGTTCTCACTATTTTTAAGAGTAGTAACCACTTTCTGGGAGCTTTGGCTTAAACCTGAAACAGAGTTGGCTGTATCCCATAAGCCGTTACATAGAAACCAAAAGGCTCTGGATTGCCATGGTTGGCTTGGTTATTTGAGGTAGCATTCTGAACTGAAAATGAAGACTGTCACGTTCTCCAGGGGAGTGTCTTGACCACAGCTGATGTTCTGCAAATAGGAGGATGGTGAATTGGTGGACTCTGGTCGCTCCTCAGTGTTCTCCCTAGCTCCCTTGGCATAGCTCTCAATGAGTATGAAGTTTCCCACAGAGCCAGAGGCTCATCCCCAGTTCTCTGACTTCAGAAGGGACTTTTATCTCCTACTGCGCTGTCCTAGAGAAGTCATAGGTCACTGGCCTTTGGGTTATTTTATTTAGGCTAAAATCTATTTGCTAGATCATTGCTTTTAATCCTCAATTTGTCTTTATAAGAAGCTGAGCTGTTCCCACTTTCTACTTCTTCCTCAAGAGGTGATGAATACTTGTGCAGTGCAACCCAGTTTCAGCACACACACTCGTACATATTCACATGTATGTACCCCGACATGTAATGTGCACACACATGCATACGTACATGCAGACATGTGCACAAGCACAATCACACTCACAATACATTTTTGTACATGTACAGTCAGACTCATACACACACATGTATACGCAGTTTCATAGTGCTGGTTTCTTCAGTAGGCCGATGGTTTTGTCCATTGGGTGTTAATTCTTGTTTAGCTTTTTGAGAAGCAACAGTTTCTGACTTCGTCTTCAGAAGTGGGAGAAGTGTTGAGGTTTAATTTGTTGCGTGGTCTGATACAGTATTACAGTAAGAAGGAGTGTTTGGAAAAGGGAGGGCTCAAAACTCTGGTTTGCTTCTGTTTCAGGACAGGGCATCATATCATGTAGTGCAGGCTGGCCTTTCACTCTGTAGCCGAGAATGGCCTTGGGACTTCTGACCTCTGCCTCCCACGTGCTGGGGTGACAGTTGTGTGCAAGCATGCCTAGTTTTTTATGCTCTTCTGGGAACTGAACCCACCCTGCCCCTAGGATTCCTGTTTTCATTGTTCTGTGTTAACTAGTGGTCTGATACTAGCTACACACCGTACATGGTGGACAGTTTTGTTATTTTGCTTTGGACCCCTGGGAATCATGTCCAGGGCCTTGCACACACTAGGCGAGTGCACTGTGGCACTGAGCTAGGGATCATTTTTCTTGAGGAGGAAAATTGCATGTGCCATGTGGCAAAGTCCTTCTTATGACGCATGGTTTCCGCCCTGCACCATAGCTCGAACCCAAGGCCTCATGCATAGCAGGCAAGTGCTTCACTGCGGAGCCACACCTTCCTTCCGTGCCCTTTTTGAAATAAGCAATTTGGTTGAGATTATTAGGGCAGAATGATGGAACTCTTGGATAGTGCAGTGGCTTATGATAATTTAATAGATATTTGTTTCCATGGAATATTTTAAAGTATATACTGTCGCTTCTGTGTTTGCATCACTTCTAGATTGACCTGTAAAATCGAAAGTGCTGTGTTAAGTGATAAAAAATCAAACCGTAGAAAGAACTATCAATGAAAACGAGAGTTCTCAGCCCTGACACTTGCTTTCCTATTTCCCCCTGGGGCAGCCACGTTGAACAGTTGTCTGTGTGTCCTTCTGGAGAGATTCTGCACGCGTGGCTGCAAACACACCACACCTCCAGGCCCATCTCTAACGTCTGTTTCTTCACACAGATGTGTACTCTGTACTCTGAGCTGTGTGTGGTGTCTTTGCTCTGTGCCTTGAAGAAAATGGAGCAGAGTTTAAAGTTAAAGAGTTGAACAGCCTGCAGCCGACTCTGAACGTGGTGGAGTAGCTGTCTGAAGCTGTTGGCTTATGTATGCTCTCCTGAGACCGGTTATCGCTTGAAGGGTTCTCTGTAGTTGGAACTGTAGGTTAGTTTTTTCTCCACAAGTTCGAGTTACCTTCCAAAGAAAGACTATGAGGAGACCTTATCCGTTTGGATGATTGATCAAGCAGTGAAACCAGAGACCTGTGGCTTTGGCAGACTATTAACCATTGCAACTCCAGATCACTGATCAAGTCACTGATGTATCCATTATTACCATGGGGAATATAAAAATACTGTCTGTTA